CCAACATGAAAATTGAATCATATTTCAATTGACTTCCAGGTGTCTAAGCTTATAAACCAAAAACAAGAAACATAAATGTTGTAGTGCTAATAACAACTAGCCACCTAAATTGAGCCAACATGTTGAAATATGATCAACCTAATTTAGATACACAAAACATATACAAACAAGAACAAGTTGAATTTACAAAACAAACTTCTTCAATTATACACCAATAAAGGCAAATACACCAATCACATATAATTTTTGCATACATACATACAGTGGTGTTTATAGCACTTCAAATCAGATTGTTTTGCACAAAAGTAATGAAGAAGGTCGATGGTAAAGAGAGAAAAAAGGCAGACAAGGTGTGAAGAGTGAGGAGAAAAATGGTCTTACCTCTTTCAATCAACAAAAGAAGGGAGTGAATAGTAAGAAGAAATTGATGGTTCCCCCGTTCCCGTCTGGTGCGAGATCGAATGCAAACTTGTTGCGAAGTTGAATGTGAAAGAAATAGAGAAGATCGATGGTAAGAATAAAGAGTTCTTGAGGATCATTTCTTGAAGTGTCTGATGGTGAGAATCGAGAGTATGAAGCATCGTTTGAAAGAAGCCCATCATGGGAAAAAAGTGCAGTCTGAATCGGCTAAGGGATGGAGTGGTGGTGGAGGGAATCAGACCTTTATGAACCATTCAGATGTTTTAAAATGCAAGCCGAACAACCCATTGTCTGACCAATTCAGACAATACCTCTTAATGGGATCAATAAGTAGTAAACAAACAGCCCCTTAGTTCACCACATGAAATCAGACACAATTTTCATTTATAATATATTTCACCCCATAAAATCAAACACAATTTCCGTCTAGATGTTATTTCATCTCATGATATCAAACACAATTTTTATCTATATCTTATTTTAAACACATTTTTTTTTGGAAACACAAAAACCCCGAAAAACATATTGAACCCATAAACCAAAACTTCAATTAATATGGTTTCATTCAGCAATATAAGGAATTCAAGGAGAAGGCGGCCATCATCTTGCAAGCCTTCTTTGATTCCTTTCCACAAGTCTTATCATCACGGATTCCCCTTTGTCACAATTCATGTCGTAGTGTCCACATCGACTATCCTTTCGCCATTGATGATTCACCTTTCTACCGGAACATGCTTAATTGATCCACCACCACCTTCGTTGCCGCCACTACTCCCAACACATCCACATCCATTGCCACTGATCTCTTTTTCCAGACTCCCTCTGCCTATTAGCGGATGCAGAAAATTTTATTGTAGGGGGCATGATATAAGATAAAAATCAATGGTTTATCTTTATCAATAGGAACATTTCCATTTGCCTACAAAATTTCAAAATTAACCTAACATTTCTGTTTGCCTACAAAATTGCAAAATTAACCTAACATTTTCATTTGTGTACAAAATTGCAAAATTAACCTAACATAAGCATTCACCAAATCACCAATTATGAAGCAAACAACACAATTAAAGTCATTAAAAGTTAAAGATTAGAAATCAAGACTCTAGGTTTTTACCCAATTTGGAGTAGCAGTACAGTAGTTGCAGCCGCAGGAAGCGAGCAGTGGCAGTGCACGATCATGATGCACTGCAGGTCCAAGAAGCAAGCAAGCAGGAAGGCCGAAAGCGGAGGAAGTGGGAAGAGGGAGGGAGTAGTGGCGATGTGCAGGAAGTACGAAGCACGAAGCAGTGGCGATGTGAAAGAAGCAGGAAGGAAGCGATGATGGCCGAGGAATGAAGGTGAAGTCATGCTGCCGTGGAACGGTGGATGTTGTGGAACTTGGAAGGCTAAATGAATTATGGGTTGTGCTGGAAGTGGGGGTCTTCATGTTTATTTTATTGGGAGCCCGATCAAATAGAGATAAAAACTATAACTAAAATAAAAAAAAGAATTGGGCTTTCTAGAGTTGATTTTGTTGGGGGCCCAGGACCCCAACCCCTTGTACTGCATCTGCCCCTACCTCTGCCTCCTACAAAGTAAAGACCATTGCTTACACCTCCAAAACCCTTACCATCTATGACCCCTCCATGTCGACCTGTACCATCCTCTAAATCCAAAACAAGGAAAACCCACAAGAGTGAAGAGCATTGAAAGTAGTTTCACTGGAGTCGAGAAGGATGAGAGGAGATCGAAGATCGAGGAAGAAGATGGAAAAAAAGAGTCGACGGAAAAAAAAAGGAAGGAGCGATAGGGGGGAGTTGCCGGATCAGAAGATGGAAGGAGTCGTCGGATAAGAAGATGGAAGGAGTCGCCGGAAAAAAGAGGAAGGAGTGATGGGAGGAGACGTAGGAGAAGAAGATGGAAGGAGTCGCCGGAAATTTGAAATTGATATAAAAGGTGATGGAGAAGATGATGGAGGATTATTCTGATATAAATTCTAATTTGGAATCCATGGTTTTTATCTTTTAATTTGAATTTAATAGAAAATATCTTTAATACCCTTCCATGGCCTTACAAACTGACCATTCTATCCTTGTTTTTTGCTTTTGTTACAAATTAGTTTTTTCTTTATTGACACTTGATTTATTCTAATAAATGGATTAAATTAGTCCTCAAGTTCTTAACATTTTTTTGGTCCTCACAATATTAAGCTCATATATGTATATATGTGTGTGTACTAGGTTCGATCCCATGTATTACATGGGGTAATTTTAAAAAAATTAAATCATGTCAGAAGACTTATCTTACATATATGAATGATCATCGAAAGTACGATGCTACTTCAGACTTGTACTCTTGAAATAACTTTGAAATATAACTCTGAAAAATGACTCTTCAGACTTAATTTAGAAATGAAGCTATATATCAATATTTAGTTAAAATGAAGTTAATCCTAGAATAAAATTAAATTTAGAAATGAAACCATATTAGTAAATTGAATTTAAACTTAGAAGTAAATTTAAAATGACTCATCAGACTTGTACTCTTGAAATAACTCTGAAGTAAAACTTTTTATACGTCAGAGCTCTATATAGGCAAGCCAGAAGCTCTGCATGCACTATGCAAAGACTCTGCATGCACTATGCAAAGGCTCTGCATGATGCTTCGTCTGGAAAAGAAGACTTCAGAGTTCAGGTGAGCTAACTCTGAAGAATGACTCTTCAGACTTATACTCTGAAAATAACTCTGAAGTAAAACTCTTCAGACTTGTACTCTTGAAATAACTCTGAAGTATAAAATCAATCCCACTAAATCAGAGTTCAAACTTCTAAGTTTGAAAAAAAAGACTTCAGAGTTCAGGTGAGCTATGTCTGGAAAAGAAGACTTCAGAATTCGGATAAGCTAACTTTGAAGAATGACTCTTCAGACTTGTAAAAGACTTCAGAGTTCAAACTTCTAAGTCTGAAAAAGAAGACTTCAGAGTTCGGGTTTCTAGGTATGAAAAAGAAGACTTCAGAGTTCGGGTTTCTAAGGTTGAAAAAGAAGATTTCAGAGTTCAGACTCCAGATTTCGGATGAGCTAAGTCTGAAAAAGTAGATTTCAGAGTTTGGGTGAGCTAACTCTGAAGAATGACTTCAGACTTGTTTTCTTGAAATAACTCTGAAGTAAAACTTTTCATTAAATTGAATTTAGAATAAAATGAAGTTAACCCTAGAATAAAATTAAATTTAGAAATGAAACTATATCAGTAAATTGAATTTAAGCTTAAAAGTAAACACCATTTTTTTAGGAATCAGTTACCACACGAATTAATAAACCCAATAATAGAATCATTTGCATCCTAAATCAGTGGAATTGATTGAATAAGATGACACATGTCAATCAAATGAGTCTAATTGAACTGCTAATGTAAATTGTGTCTAGATACGTTCAAATGAGTCTAATTGAACTGCTAATGTAAATTGTGTCTAAATACGTTCAAATTAGTCTAATTGAACTGCTAATGTAAATTGTTTCTAGATACGTTCAAATGAGTCTAATTGAACTGCTAATGTAAATTGTGTCTAGATATGTATTTAGGCGGGAAAACACTAAAAGCAGCTCACCAGAAGATGACACGTGTCACCCCAGTTACTTATTTATTACAAGTATAGATTTATGTATATGAAAATTGTGTCATTTATAACTATTATATGATATGAAATCCTAGTCGTAACAAACACCAGACATATAACTGTTCCAGTCTTATCCGGTCATGTTTAGTCCTACTCTCTCAATCATGTCTATATATTAAACGCTACCTAAAATGCACAACCATAAGTTTATATGGATGAAACCATAAACTTTAAAATTCATACGAAAAATCATGAAATTGAGAAAAATAGTATTTATCTTATGATATCACTCCAAAAAAATTCTGGATCAACGTACGCAACTAAACCTCGTGTTTTATGCACGTCACTTTCATATCCTACACTTATTTGAACATGACTAGGAGGGTACATGCACAATTTAACGAAATACATCTCGATTTTAATGTTTTTTTTTGTCTTAATCGATGTTATAATACGGTTTTGTGTTTTTGAGAAAGCGATAATGTTTTTATTTTTTAATAGAATATAAATATGAAAATATCATAAAAAATTGAAAAAAAATATTGTTATTAGTACTAAACTAACTATTTAAAAATTCTTGTTTTTTGTATATTTTTAATTCATTTTTTTATTTTTGGTTTAATAATATAAGTTTTTATGAAGATAATAACTAAATATTTTATTAGAACTTAATGATTATCTTAATTATATTTTAGATTTTTTATATTTAAAATAAGATGTCTATCATCTATTTAATTATGTTTATCTGTAGTTAGTTACACGAATTCAAACATGAAATTTTAATAGGTTGTACTTACACAATTTACTTATAATCTTAAATTTTAAGTAATATGCATCAATAAACAGTACTTCATATATAAAAAATGATTTTTAAGAATTTTTATCAAATGGTTTATAATATAGTATAGATAGTTCAAAAGCCAAACAAACAACAAAATAGCAAACAAAAGGAGATTTATCCCTCCATATTAAAGGCTATAATACATTTTAAAGGGACAAACTACATGCCAATCCCAGCCACAATACACTTCTAAATGACACTGTCTTCTGCGAGTAACCTGTGTGTGAAACAATATCAATCTTAGCTTCAAACATGAAACATGATCTCCTGAGATTATAAACTAGGTACTCATGTCCCATAAAACAAAGTACCAAACCAAACGAACCCAGTATATCCCACCAAGAGGTGAGGTCTGAAGGGTCGAATGTACATAGACAGAATCTCTATCCTAGTACACGCGTAACATGAACCAAACCAAACGAACCCGTATATTCCATTAGGAGGTGGGGTCCGTGGGGTGGGACGTATGGAGATCTGACATCTATCCCTTGTACTTGTGTCCCATGTGTGTGTTTAATATGGTAACAATTGATGAAGGAATGCCTTACTAAGTTGCAAGTAGTTGTTGCGGATATTCCACTCCAAATCCCAGTGAAGTTCAGCATTTCTAAGTGTCCAATATGCCCATCCAAAGGAGGCAGAATCGTATACCTGTAATTGGGCTCGGCCAAAATCTTGATAATCCAATTGAGTACTATTGGTTGCGTTCCATTCGTTTACCCACTCTCCTACAAGCGCCATCCAGTTGACATGATTTTCAAGCTTTAGATTCATATATGAATAATAAACGAACAAAGCGATGAGATATGCGGAACCCATCAGATTACTTTGCCCTTGAGAAGAGATGATGGTTCCAACATATATGGAGGAGCAAATGGTCCAAGTCTAACTGATATAAGAGAAAGGGTCTAAATTTAGACAGTATATGACTCCAGCAC